ATATATATATATATATATATATATATATATATATATGCAATAGTTATAAAGTGATATACGATAAAATATAATAAGCAAAAAGATTCTGTATCAAGTCACACGTGCCATCACTCACGTGATTGGCTTGCTGGGCACCTTTGACTAGCAGCCATCACTCACGTGATTGGCTTGCTGGGCACCTATGACTAGTAGAACATGGATATGATACCCTATGACTTAGCAATATGGTCTATCATGTATGTCATGCTATGTACCATGCCTGATATGGTGCATGCTCTGAGTGTCATGAGTAGGTATCAAGCAGATCAAAGTTTGGAGCACTAGAAAGCAGTAAAGTGTATCCTTAAGTGCTTGAGAAGAACTAAGGATCTTTTACTAGTATATGGAGGTAATAGTCTTAGGGTTGAAGGCTACATGGACTCAAGTTTTCAGTCTGATGTCGATGATAGCAAGTCAAATTCGAGGTATGTGTATACCATGAATGGAGGAGCAGTATGCTGGAAGAGTTCTAAGCAAAAAACTACTGCTGACTTGACTATAGAGGCAGAGTACATTATTATAACAGAAGCAACAAAAGAGGAAGTTTGGATAAAGAAGTTCATCACAGATCTGGGGGTCATGCTGGGTATCGAGGAGTCGATTTCCTTATATTACGATAATTACAGGGCGATTGCTCAAATGAGGGAACCCGGATCTCATCAGAAGTGTTTTGAAGATGTTCTAACTTATTAGAGATTTCATGACCCAGGGAGATGTAGTAATAAAAAGAGTTCTATCCAAAGATAACATTGCAGATCCACTAATAAAGCCATTGTCTTAGATTGTCTTTAAGCGTCATAGGGGTCTGATAGGGATCAGACACATAGATGATTGGCTTTAGGTCAAGTGGGAGATTGCTAGTCATAGGTGCTTTGTAAGCCAATTACGTGCGTGATGACACGTATAACTTGACACACAATCTTTTTGCTTATTATATTTTAACATTTATTACTTTATATTGCTTGTTGCATATATACATATATATATTGTGATATCCTTGGATCTATGCAATGGGAATTAGATTGTGATAAGATTACGATAATGAGACCGATTCGCCTTTAAACATAGATCCTAAAAAATCTCGGTCATAAGTTACTCAAGAAGAACGTCGAGATAACCAGACAAATTGGTGTATTGTATACCCATCCATATGATAGATGCAACTGGTCTCATAGCTGCTCGTGTGAAGACACTACGGATACAATACAGGTGCTCATTGAGGTATGAGTTCACTGATTAATCCGCTTACGGAATGCTGAATGGTTGATGATGCCTTATTGTTAGACAACGATTCCGTAGTCCCAGTGGTGTATATGATCCTTAGACCTGAAACACCAAAGATGTCCTGTATTAGTATTCCACTCTTTGATACCAGACTTATAGGTTTGGATATCCCAAATCTAGCATAGCCGACCATTGGGAGTGGTAGTCAACCTTACGAGGACTATTTATTGAGTACCGATAGAGGATCATCTACTCTTGGTGTCATGAGAGAATGTCCCATGTGTTCTTGCTCAAACAAATCCCTAGCTAGGGTCATTCGGATTGAGAGAGAAAAAGTTCTCTAGGAGAATCCGATTAGAGCGAGACTCGAGTAGAAACTGTGTGGGTCTGACAATACCATACCCGGTATATATTCTCCAAGATATTAGATGGATGAGGGACTATAGGTACATGATAATTGAGGACAGATAGGTCCAATGGATTGGATTCCCCTGTATTGTTTGGGGACTGCGACGTAGTGGTCTAGTACATCCACAGTCGATGAGTCGAGTGAATTATTATAGAGATAATAATTAATTGAGCCAGAAGGAGTTCTGATAGGTATGACTCATGACTAGCTTGATATTGAACCTAGAGGGTCACACACATATGATAGGCATTGCGATGAGTAGAGGTTCGGATATTAGATATCCATTGGAGCCCCTATCTTATTAGATATCCAATAAGCCCATGAATTATTTGATCCTATAGATGAGATCCAATAAGAGCCTATAAGAGATTATTGGATAGAGACCCACTAATCTAAAAGACTTGGGTAGTTGGATGAAAATCCAATACCCAATAGGGGATGATCCATTAGGGTTAAGTTGATAGGGGACCTTTATAAATAGGAGGGTTTCAATAGATTATAGGCTAGAGCTTTTTGCTTCATCTCCTATTCTCCCCCCCCTCTCCACATTAGAGCAGGCCTGGAGTTTTGGAGAGCGTCATCGCAGCCCTACTATGTGGATCACCGCTAGAGAGGAGGGCGCTTGACCTCCTTCACCCTCTCCTAAAGATCTATAGAGATTCAGGGATATACGATCTCCCTAAGTAACACAATCTATCTCATATGTGGTTTTCTATTTTGTAGATTTTTACGCACTAATCTTTGTATGACGACGAATATATCTTTGAGGATTGGAGATTTTGGTTTATTTTCTTATGCTATGCATGTGATGTCGCCCCCAAGATTTTCCAACACACAATGCATCTATTTAGGACATAATTATTGATGTTCCATATATGCCTTTAGCGATAAAACTCTAACTGAAAAAGCATTTCCCATTCTATAATGTGCCTCCCCACATGGGATGCATCTTCCGGGGACACAAGCATCAAAGTGTCTAATATGTCATACCCAAGCAAAAAAAATCTACATCTCCCCTATAGGATGTGTCAATCTAGGACATAAGCATTAAATATCTGAATGTGTGATAACGAGGTAAAGCATTTACCGATCTATGGTGCATCTTCCAGGACATAAGCATCAAAGAACTTGATGATCGATAATGGGAGGACATAAGCATGAAAGAGCATGATGTGGGGATAATGGGGCAAAGCATTTACTCATGTATGTTGCATCAGTCCGGGACATAAGCATTATACATATGATGTATTTTAATTAGACAAAATATTTCTTCGCACACAATGTATTTGCCCATTGCATAAATATCCAAATGTCTTATTATCACGGACTTAGCTGGTTTTGCCTAAGTCATGCGGCACCCTTGCGTGTCCATATGCAAATGTCAACCTCATTGAAACCTCCCATGGTCCCTTAGGACCTACAAAAGAGAAAATGGGTTAGAGAAAGCACCTCACTTGGGATCCATAAGCAAACATTTCTGAAAACACTTTATAGCCAATGCAAATCACAAACACACTTTACAAGCTCTGAACGATTGCATA